ATTAAAACACCCTAATGCGTTGAATAAGAAAACTGACATAAGTAACTTGAGTCAAATATATCATGCTTTAATTTTGCAGAATTAGGCTACTTGATCTTTTCACTACATTAATGTCATATTAGGTGTACTAGTTGAACCTTTTTCCATTTTTCATAAAATAATTTATATACATAAATAGAAATAAAATAAATAAATATATCAATAAAATAACTTAATAGTCTTTACTTAATTTTATTATTACATATGAAACCTACATTGCATTTCAATACACTAATTACTTTAATTAGTGTTACCAATTTTATATTAAAATAATACAAATATTGTAATTGATTCATAGAATCCTTTGCAAATCACAGTTCCAAGTATATTGAACCTTGGGCTGTTTGGAAATTATCAAATCGTTAACCACCTGTGGCTGTTTAACTAGCCATCATGATTAACGTCATTACATACTTATGAGGTTGAATGAAAATCTCCTGTTTGTAAATTTGGGCTGATTAGTGAGGGGAGTTGTTTTTACACTACCAACTTTTTTCACTGTGTTGTCCTTTGCAACCGGGTAGTCATCCAAACTCATTTAAACTTAAATTAACCGCCCAAAATTTGGGTTGGTATCTACACCTTGTTGATCTGTCAAAAGTATTTTTGACCTCAAGGTTGGCTGTCTTTTTGCGGTTTAGTTCGTTCCTGTTTCATTAAACGCCATTTTCTCGGCGACATTCATAGGGCTTTGATAGGTAACTTCATTTTTACTACTTTTTAACATTTTATTAATATCACTTATAATGCTACCTAAAGTTAAAATCAAAGCTTAATATCCATTAAATAGTTGGAAGTTATTTATGATTTTCTTGGTTCTTACTCACTTATTAACATTAAATAACATTGAATTTACTTTAGACCACATGGTCATTTGCTGTGCTAATTTTTTACAAGTTCATATATGTTGTTAGTTGCTTAACTGTTTATACAAGATCAGCGTATTATGTCCATTTACTTAGTTTCATTCACATGTTTGTTAATAACATTGACTGCTACATATCTTTTTAAGGTAACAATTAACATCGTTTCCATGATTGTGTGGTTCTCATATTGTAAAATTTTTTAGATGAACTGATGATGCTTTCAAAACTCGAAAGCGAAACGTCTTCAAAATAGATAAAGTAGCCTATCAACTTTGTCTTTTATTTCTCCACCTAGAGACCGATATAAGAACCCACCACTCGTCTGAGTGATCCTTATATATGTATATATATATATATATATATATATATATATATATATGCATTCATTTATTAAACTTTCCTTCAAATCTAGGCAGAAAATTTAGAATAAGTGAAATGTTTAAATTCTAAGAAAAGCCACCGTATAAACAATTAAGTAAAATTTATAGATACCGTACCTTTATCCACCCTATGTGGGAAGAAAAACTGCTTTTTAAGTATTGTGGATTTCTTGAAACTTTTCTTCTATGGAAATGTCGATACTTATGAGGCATTGCAATTATAGTCAATAGTCAATGGAAATTCTAGGTTCTTTGACAGTCCGTGTTAAAGATGGATAGGTTTTTACATGGGGAAATTCGTTAGTATAATTAACGCACCAGACTTTAATCCACATTAATTACAATAAAAGATTCTGGTTTTCCCAAATATTGATCAAGTAATTTAATCCTTATCTTTGTTTCGAGTAGGCCCATACTTTTATCGCATTCAAGAAATGCATATCATCTTACAGGATATAAAATGTCAATATAATATCGCTTTGAACTACGTACGGCATAGTGTAGGAATCGGACCATGAGATAATTTTTGTTTTGACCTGTATGTCACAAACGATCGAAAGATGTTTGAAAAATGAAAATTTCAAGAATTAAAAAAATATTCAATATAAGGTTGAATGTTCGAATAATTAAACTTTGAGGGTATACAAGGCAACTATCGAACACGGTGATTAATTTAATCTTGCCCAAGTACTTTCGATCAATAGATCATCTTCAGACATTAGCAGAAAGAAAAACTATCTTGAGTTGGATTTATTGGAAGATTTGGAGATTACAAGGGAAACAAATAAAAACTCTTACTGTCTTAATACTCAAATTAATTTAAATTTTACTAAATTTAATTCTATATTTAAAAACTTTATTACAGCTTCACCTCGTAGAGGACCCAGCTCGACTGTTTAGACTTCATGCACTGAATATTTCAATATTAATTTTAAAGTTCTTCCATTGACTGTGGATTCAACTGAACTACGTGGACTATAACACATTTATATATTTTGTCTTCAATTTTGATTTTAACTTTTAGTAATTTAACTACATATTCAGATTTTTCTTTTTTACAGTACTGATAGCGCTTGGTGGACCATTTTATTGTAGTCAACCATCCACTGTCTAATATATTGTTAGTCTTTTCTCACATTCATACTTTATGTCAACTTCAATTGCTCTCAAACCAACATCCTAATTATTATAGACAGGTTTGAGTGTGAGATTGGGATTATTCAATCTACATAAAAAATATACTATATAATTTTATATTTCATCAGTCCATTTTCTATAGTGGTGTCAGTTGGACCTTTGGTCAATACTTAGTGTCATAGAATTTTGAAAGGTGCAGATCACATAACTGCCCTTCATAAGCTGTCATTTGTCACATGTCATCTCTACATTTCCGTCAGACCGGGAGCCCATTCTGTCTCCGGTTTCTATAAAATATGTAGCTTCTCCATATAAATTTTAAAGTGTTTGTTTGTCTTAGTGTATTGTATTTTGTATTGTTATGTCCAAATTTTACATTTATGACATTCTACTATGTCGGATAGGCCACAATTGACGAAGTAAGTCTATAAACGTTTATCACATATAAAAATTTTTTTCAACCATAAACTTGGAGTTTTTTATCCAAGTGAATTAATTTTCCTTTTTATAAAAAACGTTTCTTGGCTTATTTCAGATGCCCCTGAAGATGATCTATTGATCGAAAGTACTTGGGCAAGATTAAATTAATCACCGTGTTCGATAGTTGCCTTGTATACCCTCAAAGTTTAAAAAAATATTGTTCTGTTGTGGCCAAGCAAGTACATTATATCAAAAATAACTTTTCCGTCGACCGTCCATTTATAATCAATTTTAACACCCTTAAAATAATTGTTTAATGAGATATTGCGCATAAGCCGTGACGTCATTGGAGAGTTACACGGTCGAAATGTCAGTTTTTTGTATGTATCAATAAATAATCTTTAATAAATAGTTTGGAGATACGATTATTGTAATTATAAAACCTCTTAACTTATTTTCGTCTAGTAATTTCATCACAGAATGCATACAAATCTCATTTAACTTTAACAAGAATTCAAATTCTACTCTCCCATGACGGCATGCGCGAACACGACCGATTTTGTGCTACGGGAAGATCCTATCTTGTTAGTTATTGTATCATGTAATGACCCATATTAATGAATGACTTTCTATTAATGAAAGATTTCATTATAGGCAACACAATAGGTATACATTACTTGCATAATAGTATATTACATAACGAGAGTTGTAAGCTTATTACATGCGAGTAAAAAAGATGCGCGCGAGCCGCGTAGCGGCGAGCGCAGTAATTTTACAAGCATGTAATAAGCTTACAACTCAAGTTGTGTACTATACTTTTTCTACGATTATTTTCGTTTATAAAAATAAAAATTAAATTACCACTATATTAACACTGACAGATTAATAATTTTTAATCTGTCAAAATAACGTCTGTTAATTCGTTTCCATGGTAACTCGACCAACTGACTTACGAGGCTTATGTGATATTACACATTTTTATAAAACTGAAGCGTAATTTTTTTTATTACGTGCTAGTGATTACGTGTCAGTATCTGTTATGATTCATTTACTTAGCATCCAAATAGTAGTTAATATACAATTTACTAGTAAGAGAGTAGAAAAACCTATTTATTTATATTCGCATTAAAAGTTTATAATGAAGTAGCCGCTGTTAGTACTATCTGTCATTGTATGTCATTATTTACTTTATTGTTTAAAATTCTGTGTATTTAAAAAATTAAAAGATGGATATTGATGAAGAGCTTAATTTAACTCTACCAGAAGTGACAGAAACTGCAAATGAAATATCTTTAAGTTTACTGCCTGAAAAAAGCAGAGTATTGTACGAAAAAACAAACGCTGAATTTATTGCATGGTGTGGCGAGAATAATACGATATTCAGAATCTGTATTGTTGACATATTTTTCAAACATTGCCGAAAAAGGACTAATAGCAAGTTTGTGGCCCAAATATTCGATGCTAAAATCAACCTTAAGTTTAAAATCAAACATTGACATATCTAAATATAATAATTTAATTATGTTTATCAAAAAAAAGAACAGGTTATGTACCAAAGAAATCAAAACCACTTGAAAAGTCCAGAAATTTATCTCTGATGCTCCTAACGACATGTTTCTGATGATAAGGGTATACCAGTAAATTAATATTATTATATATTTAATACTCGTATTTCATAACATTCCATTTTGTAGGTTGCATTGATTTTCGGAGTGTCTGGTGCGTTAAGAAAGGACGAACTATTGAAATTAGAAACAAATAACGTTCAAGAAAAATAGTTCAATTGTTAATCGCTCTTATTAATACACTTGTTGGTTAAATAACTATGAATATATGATGATTTTAATTTTGAAAGTACATAATGTAATACGTAAGTGGAAATACATTATTTTTACATTATTCGCTTATTTTTACATTAAGTATATTTGTCCAACTGTATGTATAATTGTAGAAGAAAGAAGTGTACAACTAGAAGAGTTTTTATACATTCATAACTACATCTTTGATAATTTTAGCAATAATTTTCCCTGAATCTTCCCGAAAGATTAAAGTATCTTCATCTCTTAAATGATTGTTTCGGTTGTAATTCCCCAATTATAAAATATGTTATTGATTTTCTAATGCCCGCAATTATTCTAAAATTATATTTTTGTTTCAGTTCTTTTACCTTCGCCAAAATGTCAGGGCTGTTTAATATTATGGAAGGTTATAACCATTTTATGAAAACACATCAAGGTCAGTATTATTTAAAAAATTGCGAAAACCAAATAATATCTACCTCCTTTTGTGTGAAAGTTAATTTTTTAATGAGAATTATAATTTTACTCTTAACAAATTGCGGTACATAACTTCTCTTATAATATAATATATATATATAATATATATATATATATATATATATATATATATATATATATATATATATATATATATTAAATAATTCTATCCTAATAATAGCTAATAATCTTTAATTATTATATTCAGCTAATAGGTAGTATCAGTCGATTTTATAATTCTTACTTATTTCGAATGACACGGATCACAAAATCAGACGATTAGAGGATTTTATATAAGTGCTGATTTAAGTTAAAAAATATTATCATACAATCAGTTTTAATATTATTCTGAAGCTATTTTCTTGTGTCATTTTAATTTTATTTAATGGTAATTAACCCCAATATTAGTTTAAAATACATTTATTTCGACTTTTCGATTTTCTTTTGAGATTATTTATTTGGAAATTCCCACTGAGCATAAACAATCAGTTTTATTTTACTTAAAAAAACTATTCTTATGTCTATCACTTATGAAGAGCTTTCGATAGAATTCTAAAATTATTGGGCAGAAAAAGTAACATACTTCAACATTATTCTTTACGTTTGAAATTTCCGACCTGAGATTAAATGTGATTTTTGCATTTCATTATAAATATCTTATTAAAAAGTAACACATGGTAAAGTACTTTTCTTTATACCTAAAGGTTATGTGTATAAATATTTTTTTTCATTCCTATTCGAAAAGCCAACGAGTCAACATCTCGGCTTATTCTAATAGTATTTGTAATAAAAAACTTGTCAGTTAATGTGATTTGTTATTAAGTAATTATTGAAAGTGAATACTTTTTTGTGAAACAACTTGGTATGTACTTTTGTAGAGAACATTATATTTGATACAAACACACTAATAGGACAGGCATTGCGTCTAATTTTCATTAAATGTTTTGGCATCCAGAATATTTAAAAATGCTTCTTCAACCCACCGCTCCAAGCTACGCAGCTGTTACCACATCAAATACAATAAAACCTACACCGACTACATCATATCCTAGCAGAAAACAAGCGATAGTTTTAAATGCTCTTCCGGATACAGCTCTCTTCAATTACATTAAGGCGATTGGTGAAATCGTAACGCCAAAACGTATTACCCACGCTTCCCGCATATCCAAGCAACGCATTTGCATCTTTCTTGCTTCTATTTCTGACGTCGATATTCTTCTCAAAAAAAAATCCCTCCGTTTCCGTTAAAAATGAAATCGTCCACATCCGCAGACTCATTTCCCCAACTAAAAGATTGTTAATATCTAATGTATGTCCATCGATTCCAAATCAACTCATCGAGCAGGCATTAAAAAACGAACTTGGTCTGCAACTAGGCTCACCTGTATCTCACATTCGTACTGGCTCACCCGAAGAAGATTATTCCCATATATTAAGTTTTCGACAGTCTATGTACGTAATACCAGATAAAGAAAATTTTGAAATACAAACCTCCGTATTAATACATTTTGAAAATACTTCCTTTCAAATCTTTGTTACATCAGACAAACTAGAATGTTTTCTTTGCCAAAAACGTGACAACGCCTATGACCAAGTTTCAGTGAGAAGTTATTGGCGCTTCAACTATGCTAATTGGCCAGAGTTCTCCTGAAAAATCTGAATCCCTTATATGCGAATTATCTTACTCTAATAATATTGATGACAATGACAGAAACAGAAGCACATGTATGTATTCAAGGACAGATCACTGATGCGTTTATGACAACGCAAGGACTGAAACAAGGTGACGGACTGGCTCCAACACTTTTTAATCTTGTTCTTGAATATGTAATTAGACGGTTGACGGTGAGCAGAAATAACATACTTACAAACAAATCTACCCAATTAGCAGCATACGCAGATGACATAAACATAATGAGCAGAACAAAGACTGCGGCAGAAGAAACCTACGTTCAGTTGAAACAGAGTTCAGAAGTTGTAGGGCTAACAATAAATACAAATAAAACAAAACTACTCATACAAACCAGATCAAATAGACAGACGCAACAACAACAATTTATAGACGATATAGAATACGTGAATAGATTCACGTATTTAGGAATGGATCTGGTCGAAAATAATGAAGAAGAACCGGAAATAAATAGAAGGCTTATGCTGGCAAACAAAGCCTATTTCACGATGGGCCACATATTCAAATCGCGAGACGTACACCGGAAAACAAAACTCCGGGTATATAAAACAATAATCCGACCAATAGTAAGTTATGGGTGTGAAACATGGGTTATAACACAGAAATCTACCAATGCATTAGACGTGTTCGAAAGAAAAATATTGCGTAGAATACTGGGTCCAATAAAGGAAAATAACAACTGGCCAATTTGATATAATAACGAAATATACGAACAATACACTGAACCAACACTAGCACAATACACTAGACTGCAGAGATTACGATGGGCAGGGCATGTGGCCCGCATGCATGAGAACATAATCCCCAGAAAATTACTAAACGCAAGAATGCAAGGAAAAAGACCTGTTGGAAGACCAAAAAAGAGATGGGAAGACGAGGTAGATGAGGATGCCAAAAATCTCCTAAAAACGCGTTCATGGAAAAGAACAGCAGTAAATAGAGATGTTTGGAGAGGTTTAATGAAGGAGGCCAAGGCCCGGCTTGGGCTGTAGTGCCATTGGATGGAATAATATTGATGATTCCATAAAATTATTCTTAGATGCCATAATTAAAGCAGCATTAACTCATATTGGCAAAACCACAATTAGTTCCTGACATAAAGTTGTACCTTGGTGGAACTCTCAATGTGAACTCGCAATTCGACAATCAAAGACTGCTCTCAATCAATACCGCAAACATAAAAGTCCTGAAAATCTATTTAAGTATAAAAAGCTGAAAGCCAAAGTCAAATACGTTGTAAAGCAGAGCAAAAAAATATCCTGGCATAACTATGTATCGTCTTTGAATGATAACACAAACCCCTCCCAAATGTGGAAAAAAATTCGACAAGTTCAGGGACAAAAAACTAACACAAAAATAACCCATTTAATCTGTAACAGCATTTCTTCTAGCAACAGCCAAATTATTTGCAATACCCTGGCTAATACATTTGAGGAACAATTTGAAAAAAGAGAAAACAAAACATATATAATTCTATCTGATCTTCTCAAATATTTCCTACTCAATGGAACACATCCGTAATTATACCTGTCCTAAAACATGGCCAAACACCAATCTTTCCTCAATCCTATAGACCGATTTCTCTCACTTGCACCATGTGCAAATTAATGGAGAAGATGATAAACAGGCGTCTTTTATGGTTTATTGAAAAACACCAAATTTTACCTAAAGATCAATCTGGTTTTCGCCGACATCATTCCACAAGCGATAACCTCGTCCTTCTTCATACCCACATCGCCGAGCTATTAACAACAGTGAAGAAGTGATTGCCTGCATTTTTGATATTGAAGCTGCTTTCGATAAAATACCTAGACAGATTATTCTCGATAAACTATTATTATACGGCCTCAACGGAAATATTTTTAAATTCATCAAGCACTTTCTTAGCTCTAGATCTTTTAGAGTCTCCGTAAATGGTTGCCTATCATCACCCTACATCCAACAAGACGGAGTCCCTCAGGGCTCTCAGTATTAACCCCCACATTGTTTATTTTATCGATTAACCATATATGCCACAGTCTTCCCTCCCCAGTCACATTTACTACATATACTGATGACCTTGTAATTTATTGCCATATTGTTGCGACCACTACTACTTGCAAACTTCTCCAAACATCAGTGGACTTATTACAAAATAGATTGCCTGCCATCGGCCTGTCTCTCTCATCCACTAAATCACAACTTATTAAATTCACCAGAAAAACACTCTCCACTGCGCCTGAAATCTTAGTGAATAACCACCCTCTCCCAGTCATCGATCACTGCAAAATTCTAGGATTAATATTCGACTTCCGGCTTTCTTGGAAACAACATATTGAGGAAACTAGAGCAGAGTACCTGAAACCTTTAAATATTATCAAAACACTTTCCCACTACCAATGGGGCGATAGCGAATGTACACTATTAAAAGTATATAGGTCTCTTATTCGCGCTTAACTCGATTACGGCAGCTTTATATATATATATATATATATATATATATATATATATATATATATATATATATATATATATATATATTATATATATATATATATATATATATATATATATATTTATATATATATATATATAATATAATATATATATATATATATATATATATATATATATGTCAGGATCCAAAACATCCTTACAAACCCTTAATTCAGTACATAATACTGCCATCCGCTCTGTTTAGGAGCTTTCCGTAGCAGTCCAGCTGAGAGCCTCTACCGTGAAGCCAACGCACCTCCTCTTTGGCGTAGGCGCCAATATCTCCTCCTTTCTTATGCTGCCTCTACTTCAGCTAACCTTTCTAATCCAGTACACACACTGCTGACATTACCCAACTATACTAGTACTCACCCTCCTGCTCCACGCATACACACTATCGCTGTCCTACTTCCAACTTTATAACCTCATATTAATTTATCCCTAACCAACCCTCTCCCGATCCCGCAGAATTTTCCTTGGACCAAAGCTTTACCGAAATTTAATGTGTCACTTACAAAGTTTAGTAAAGCAGAAATCAACCAGGATTTGATTAGGAAATCCTTACTAGAAATTCTTAATTTTAAGAAATTCGATCGGGTCCTCTACACTGACGCATCAAAAAGCGAAACGGGGGTTGGTTATGCGGTTGCCACTACGGAAACAGTCGTCAGTTCATGTCAAATACCTGTGACATGCAGCGTTCACACTGGTGAACTGTATGCTATTTACCAAGCCTTCAAACTCTGCACAACACCCAATCAACATATTGCCAACAGACTCCCTTGCCTCTATCC